AAACTAAAATTCAGCAATTTTTCTATTTGTAAACACGCATAACTCTAGAACGGTTGTGTATAAGTTTTATAACATTTAGTTGAGACAAACCTAAAAATTCAGCAATTTTTATGATAATAAAGGGACACATGCAAAACTAGAATGGTAAAAGTGTCGCCACCAAATTTCGTACTTAATCTGTATCATGTAGTAATAAGCATTGTGTATCAGTTTCATAACATTTGGTTGAGGCAACATTAAGTTAGAAAACGGAAACAAAAAATTTGTACTTGATCTTAGTTTTGTGGTAATGAATATTGTGTATAGCATAACTCAATAATGGTTAAAATGACACTACCCAAATTCAAACTTGATCTGTGTTTTGTGGTAATAAGCATTGTGTATAAGTTTCATAACATTTGGTTGAGGCAAACTCAAGTTAGAGACCGGAAACCAATTTTTGGATGTACGTACAGACGGACAAGGGTAAAACTTAATGCCCCCAACGCTACGGCAGGGGCATAAAAATAGGAATAAAATGTAAAAGTCTGCTTTGAATGGCTTGAATCGATGTAGATAGGAGTGCTAAGCATCCATCCAAACACATGCTCTTTAATGGCTGACTTGCCTCATTAGATTGGCAAGAAGTACATATAAAAAAAATTTAAAAAAACAAAACAAGTGAGTGAGTGAGTATTGATCTAAGAGTACACAGTTACTGAAAGCTAGTTTAAAGCCAATTAATAATAACTATTAATAGGTTTTTTTTTTCTCCCAGACTAACAAAGTATTAGTCATTAACAGCCAGTGGAAGTAGAAAACAAGTTCCTCAAAAATCAACTTGAAAAAAATTTGCAACATACAATGTATGAACATGACATGTTCTTTCATCAAAGTTTAGGATACTAATATTATTTGATATCCCTGTTGTTCCTCTACTAAACATTAATAATAAGATGTGCTGATCAGTTGGTTGCTTAAATTTAAGGTAGCTTTTAATCAAATGATTGACTACATTTTTACTTCTATCTCGAATTTTGATTCTCTGAAACCCGAAATACGGCGAAAATCGTGAAGAGAAAAATGCACGTATGTCTGTTCTTTTAGTCTGACATATTTTATAAATGGGAAGTGAACTGTAAAGTTAAGGCTCTGTAATTTGTTAGTCAAATTGTTACTACTAAAACAAAATGGTTCACGGAACCATATGCCTTCATAATTGTTGAAATAAACATCGCAGAAAAAATATTCATCATCTTTTGTTTGTGTAAACATCACTGTAAAAACGGTAAATTCTATTGGTGGGCGGGGCTTAGAATCACAACTTACGGATGCTGAATATTGTTGCATAATTCGCTATTCTCGTTAATTTAATTGAAGAACTTAAAATAATTATGATTGAAACTTAAATGTCACTTTCTATAAGCAAAAACATTGAAAGATTGTACGTTGAAAGATTTTTTTGTGGTCATTAAAATTTGTATGTTCCCGCCCACTTAATGACTCGCCGGAAGTCGTATAATGGGATTCCCCAAACACATGTTTACATTTTACAAGTTGCTATATTTGTTCACTTAATGGGTCAGAAAAGAATTGTATGGACTCGACTGCATATCTCCGCGTTGTTCATTAAATTTCTGATATTTCAACGTAAGTTTAAAAAAAATGCTTTTGTTGCAATAATGTACGACTCCAAAGCGAGAAAAGCGGCAGTGAACACTCGGGAGTTTCAAAATAAAGTTTTTCTTACGGAAAATAATTTTTTACGCAAACTGTATCGTAAACATTGATTATTAGGTATTTTATAACCAGTTGGTATTAATAACCAACAATAAATGTAGTTAACGTGACAATGTCAGTGTTCTGAAACTTGGTTGTCAACAAGAACTTCGAAAAAATGGCGACGGCTATTTATAAAAATAATCGGCACGTTTAAAGTATTAATGCATTGCGAAAACAAATATTTCATCAATGAAATTCAAGTCAGATGTTTTTATGAATATCCTTTTTATATTGGATACAAATTTTATTAAGTCTGATACAGACATTTCGTAGTCAAAGTGTTTCAACTGAGGTACTATACAGAGGCGTCAAAAGGCGTCATTATGGAGTAAAGGGGGGTGGCGTCAAAAGGCGTCATTATGGAGGAAAGGGATAAGTAAAATACGGAAAAACAGAATATATTTTTTACAAAATTTACTTCTGGATACTATCTTATGATCATAAACAAGCTTCTGTCCAAGTTTGGTAGAAATCCAGGATAGTTTAAGAAAGTTATTAAAATTTAAATAAAATGCTCTGCTGGGGCGCAGCTTGATACGACCGCAGAGGTCGAAACCCTGAACATTTGGGGCAAGTATGGACACAACATTCAAGCTTGATACAGCACTGAATTTGGATTGTAATTAAATATTTGACACAGCATAGGTTTCTGACACAGAATGAAAGTGGTCTAAGAACTTAAAATTTTTAATTTACCTATTCAAACCATATCATTATTATTTGCTTTTATATATAAATCAGAAATAACCAATTTAAAATGGAAAATTTTAAAGAAAAAAAAGGAAAAAAAAATCTCCCCCCCCCCCCAATTTTTTGAACCCCCTTATGATTCATCACCCCCAAACTCAATCCCAGCCTTCCCTTTGTGGTATGGTACCTTGCAGTACAATTTCAGAGAGATCCATACACTTGAACACACGTTATTGTCTGGAAACTAGAAAAATGCTTGTTTTTTGGCCCCTTTTTTGGCCCAAAATTCTTAAACGTTTAGGGCAATTACCCCAAACTCAAACCCAGCTTTCCCTTTGTGATATGGTACAATTTCATAAAGATCCTTACACTTCCACACAAGTTATTGTCCTGAAACTAGAAAAATGCTTGTTTTTTTGCCCTTTTATGGCCCCTAATTACTAAAATTTTGAGGGAATTACCCCCAAAATCAATCCAAGCCTTCCCTTTGTGATATGGTACCTTGCAGAACAATTTCAGAGAGATCCATACACTTGAACACAAGTTATTGTCTGGAAACAAGAAAAAAGCTTATTTTTGGCCCCTTTTTGGCCCCTTATTCCTAAACTTTTTGGGCAATTACCCCCAAACTCAATTCCAGCTTTCCCTTTGTGATATGGAACCTTGTAGTACAATTTCAGAAAGATCCATACACTTACACACAAGTTATTGTCATGAAACTAGAAAAATGCTTGTTTTTTGCCCCTTTTTGGCCCCTAATTCCTAAAATTTGGAGGCAATTACCCCCAAAATCAATCCCAGCATTCCCTTTGTGATATGGAACCTTGTGATACAATGTCAGAGAGATCCATAGACTTACACACAAGTTATTGTCATGAAACTAGAAAAATGCTTGTTTTTTGCCCCTTTTTGGCTACTAATTCCTAAAATTTTGAGGCAATAACCCCCAAAATCAATCCCAGCATTCCTTTTGTGATATGGAACCTTGTGATACAATGTCAGAGAGATCCATAGACTAAAACACAAGTTATTGTCATGAAACTAGAAAAATGCTTGTTTTTTGCCCCTTTTTGGCTGCTAATTCCTAAAATTTTGAGGCAATTACCCCCAAAATCAATCCCAGCATTCCTTTTGTGATATGGAACCTTGTGGTACAATGTCAGAGAGATCCATACACTTATACACAAGTTATGTCTGGAAGTTACAAAAATGCTTATTTTTGGCCCCTAATTCCTTAACTGTTGGTACCATAACCCCCAAAATCAATCCCCACCTGTCTTTTGTGGTATTGAACCTTATGGTAAAATTTCATTGAGATCCATTCATTTAAACTAAAGTTAGAGTGCGAAAACTAATGTGTCTTCGGAAGACGACGACGACGCCAACGTCATACCAATATACGACCACAAAAATTTTTTTGCGGTCATATAAAAACTTTTACCACAGAGTGAATATTTGTAGACGCTCGACAAAAATGACATTTCATTGGCAATAACTGCAAAAAGGGTTGTCCCATTTTTCTGAAAATTCAGCAGGAGATAAATCTTGATCTGCTGACCAATTGTACTGTTGTCAGATTTGCTCTAACTGCCTTAGTTGTTGAGATATAAGCCAATAACTGCATTTTTACCCTTATATTCTATTCTAAGAAACCGTGGCCATGTTTGTTGATGGATCAAATCCTTAGATATAATTATATACCCTAGGGAACATTCAGATAAATTTTAGTAACATTTGGTCCAGTAGGCCCAAGACCATAATTTATGACCCCTATTTTTGTTGTCAATGAATTTAGTTCTCTTTAATTAAAGTGTATTTTTTTATGGGGTGGAAATGAAAGAAGAGAGTTGATATAAAGCTTTGGTAGTTTTATTTTAACTGAATTTTTTTTATGGAAGGGGTAATTTGACCAGGTGCAAAAATGTAACATTTACAGTGAATATCTCTCGACTTGTCCATAGGGGTATGGATGTGTATTAGCAAAATTTGTGTGCTGTAAAAGTTAAAAATTTTCTGAATGTCTGATATATTTTTGGACTTGTACTGTACATTACACACACAAAAAATTGGACAAAATGGTAAGATGCAATTTTTTTAATATGACAAAACATTATAAAGAACAAATAGGGAAATTAATTGCAGTCTGTGGCCAGAGATGATTGTTTAAATAAATTATGATGAAGGTGGCCTTCTAAGCAAGATGATCTAATAAAAGAAATAAATTAACAAGCCAAAGTTGTATGCAAAATTTCCCCAAAATCTGTGACGTTAGCCCATTTACTGTACCTTGACCTTACACTTAGTTACACTTATCTTTTTTCTACCATTTATGAAATGGGGTTCCTGTTACTCAGTCTTTGGTTTTCTATGTTGTGTTTTGTAGATTTGTTTGTCTATTTGGTCATTGTTTTTTTGTTTTTTGACACTATGTTTTTAGTTGGGACTTATGAAATTGAATATCACTTTGGTATCTACCACCTCTCTCTTAAAGGTGGTATTTTTGTTCTTTTTAAAACCATTAACATATTGGTTACATTAGTGAAACCTACCTGAGAATAAGATCAATGTGTAGTTGTGGTGAAAGCTTGTTGATAGCCAGATACTGCCTTTCTAAACACATGTGAGAAAAAAGGTCAAGTTGGTGTCTGGAAAAAAGACAAATACATTAAATATGCTTATAAACAAGATTATATGTCAATAAGACACCATTCCCCATTTACAATAATAAAGTATTATGGCTACACTGATATGAACACTTTTGGTCCTACTAGGCTATGCTTTTCTCAGACTGTTTATAACTTCTAATTATATAATTGTTTTTCATCTATTGTTTTGTCATAAATCAGGATGTTGGTGTTTTCTGATTTTAGTTGCTTTAAATTTTATCATGTAATTTACAGTATGGGTTTTGCTCATTATTGACAGCTGTATGGTTACCTATAGTTGCTTTAATCCACGTCATATGGACTACGATGGACAGTTGTCTCATTGGCAATCATTCCACGTCTCCTTATTTTTATAGTGTGTCAAAAGAAGAATATATATTCATACCTGTCAACTGACCTGTATCCTGCGGGTGTGACCCGAGATTTTCACCCCTCACCAGAGATTTTTTAAATACCCGCCGGGTCGTTAAATAACCCAGGAATTTCGAAAATGACCCGTTTTCACTCAGATTCTTAAGCCTTCAGACTGATTTCATAAGTGATTTTCCTTTGAAATATCGGCAAATTCGTAATTCTTCCTGGACAAGAAGTTCAACTAGATGTGTAAACTCAAATTAGGTGACCCATTTCAGTGCATGGCTTCACTTGACAGCTTTGGTGTCAAACACACTGTTAATTAACACCAATTACCTTAGCTTTAGGTCAAAAATAATTTGTGTACTTCAAAGATGTTTCACAAAAAATTTGAGTTACTTCCCCTTTTTTGTCACCTTTCACAATATACTCCTTAAATTTATGTTCATTATTGTAAAAAGGTTAAATCTAAAACAAATTGAATGCAAATACATATTAGAATATTACTTTTCATTATTTTTCTACCTTAGAACAATTAGAAAATAAATAGTTGAAAAGTACTTTTTTCATCTCTACATTGTACTTCCTTTAAATGTTTAACTTTTTTTTTATTATACTCTAATATCAACCACTCTTGAAATAATGTATAAAACTGTACAGATAGATGCACACTGAGCTTCTTGTGACTAAAGTGTTAAACATTAATCTATCATAGCCAGAAGTGCATTGCAATAATAATAGTTTAAAATTATTTTCAGTTAATACTTAACCATTGGCGCATGTTTTGGAAGTTGTATGTTTTAAAATATAAAAAAATGTCCCCTAAATACTTAAATTCAGCTGGAAAAAAGTTTGTATGCGTAATGACCTGAGATTTTATTCTTCAATGCAGGTCATGACCTACATTTTCATTTTCATAGGTTGACAGATATGCATATTAAACCTCTCCCTCAATTGAATCTCCCCCATGAAACATATCACCCTTAATTTGATATCTTCAAAATCTCTCTTATAATGTTCTTTAACTGCCAATGATAACATATTTAACTGTATTGCTATGTTTATTTACATCAGCTTCTGTTTCTATAGTAACACTAACTTAAAGCCATAAACAGACAATAACTAGTTATTCTAATAATCAATCTTTTACCATGAACAATTTATTTCATATCAAGATATTTACAAATGATTGCAAAGCAATCAATGCATAAAAATAGTAATAACTAAGTGGAACTGTCCAAGTGGACTAAAACATAAAAATTTTGGAGATATTTACAAATGTTGGCAAAGCAATAACAATTATCTATAGTATTTATAAAAGGAAATTTACAATAAATGCATTCTAGTGCTGGAAAGGTATTTTCATGGTAAATAAGAGTTTCTTAATTGTAAATTGATGGGAATTTTTACTGTTTCGATATATTTTTATTAAAACATTTTGGTATTATCCATTTGACTTCTATATATTTGCTGAAAAAATTCTTGTAATTCCATTTTTAATATCAACATTTTTTTTCTTATTGTATGCTAGTTAGTATATATACAACTCTGCCTGTTAATTTCATAATTTCTGGTCTATTATCAGAAAAGTTACAAATTAGGTTCTGTGTTAAGTCTTTTTTTGAAGTGTTAAAATCTTGATAGAGTACCGGTAAGTGTAAGTAGTCTAACCGCCTTCCAATTCAAACAAAAATAAAATGCTTCGCTGGGCGCAGCTTGATACGACCGCAGAGGTCGAACCCTGAACAGTTGGGGCAAGTATGGACACAACATTCAAGCTTGATACAGCTCTGAATTTGGATTGTGATTAAATATTTGACACAGCATAGGTTCTGACACAGAAAGAATGTGGTCTAAGAACTTCAATTTTTTTAATTTACCTATTATGGTCCAATGTCCAAAATCAAAATACATGGTTAGATTCAGCATATCAAAGAACCCCATATATTCAATTTTTGTTGAAATCAAACAAAGTTTAATTTTGGACCCCAACTTGAACAAACTTGAAAACTGGTCCCATAATCAAATATCTAAACACATGTTTAGATTCAGCATATCAAAGTACCCCAAGAATTCAATTTTTGTTAAAATCAAACTAAGTTTAATTTTGGACCCTTTGGACCTTAATGTAGACCAATTTAAAAAACGGGACCCAAAATTAAAAATCTAAAAACACGGTTAGATTTGGCATATCAAAGAACCCCAATAATTAAATTTTTGATGAAATCAAACAAAGTTTAATTTTGGACCCTTTTGACCTCAATATGAACCAATTTGATAGCGGGCCCACAAATAAAAAATCTAAATACATGGTTAGATTCAGCATATCAAAGAACCCCATATATTCAATTTTTGTTGAAATCAAACAAAGTTTAATTTTGGACCCCAATTTGGACCAACTTGAAAACTGGGCCAAAAATCTAAAATCTAAATACATGTTTAGATTCAGCATATCAAAGAACCCCATATATTCAATTTTTGTTGAAATCAAACAAAGTTTAATTTTGGACCCCAACTTGGACCAACTTGAAAACTGGGCCCATAATCAAAAATCTAAACACATGTTTAGATTCAGCATATCAAAGAACCCCAAGAATTCAATTTTTGTTAAAATCAAACTTAGTTTAATTTTGGACCCTTTGGACCTTAATGTAGACCAATTTAAAAACGGGACCCAAAATTAAAAATCTAAATACACGGTTAGATTTGGCATATCAAAGAACCCCAATAATTCAATTTTTGATGAAATCAAACAAAGTTTAATTTTGGACCCTTTTGACCTCAATATGAACCAATTTGATGGCGGGTCCACAAATAAAAAATCTAAATACATGGTTAGATTCAGCATATCAAAGAACCCCAAGAATTCAATTTTTGATGAAATCAAACAAAGTTTAATTTTGGACCCTTTTGACCTCAATGTGGACAAAGTTGATAACGGGGCCCAAAAATCAAAAATCTAAATACATGGTTAGATTCAGCATATCAAAGAACCCCATATGTTCAATTTTTGTTGAAATCAAACAAAGTTTAATTTTGGACCCCGATTTGGACCAACTTGAAAACTGGGCCCATAATCAAAAATCTAAATACATGTTTAGATTCAGCATATCAAAGTACCCTAAAAATTCAATTTTTGTTAAAATCAAACTAAGTTTAATTTTGGACCCTTTTGACCTTAATGTAGACCAATTTGAAAACGGAACCAAAAATTAAGAATCTAATTACACGGTAAGATTCGGCATATCAAAGAACCCCAATAATTCAATTTTTGATGAAATCAAACAAAGTTTAATTTTGGACCCTTTGGACCTCAATGTGGACCAATTTAAAAACGGGGCCCAAAATCCAAAAACTTAATACACGGTTAGATTCAGCATATTAAAGAACCCCAAGAATTCAAGAATAAAACCCCATTGAAATTGATCAAGAAATAAGCAATTTATACGAAGTATCTTCTTTTGCACAATACTGTGCAATTGAATATTTCTTGCTATTGTGCAATACTGTACAATTGACAATTTCTTGCTATTGCGCAATATTGTGCTATTGGATATTTCTTGCTATTGCGCAATACTGTGCAATTGAAGATTTCTTGCTATTGCGCAATACTGTGCAATTGAAGATTTCTTGCAATTGTGCAATACTGTGCAATTGAAAATTTCTTGCTATTGCACAATACTTATTATATAATAATTTACACATCCTGTTTGGTGTGTATCTCCTACCATATCATTATTATTTGCTTTTAAAGATTAATCAGAAATAACCAACTTAAAATGGAAAATTTTAAAAGAAAAATAAAAAGGAAAAAAAGAAAAAAAAAGAAAAAAAAAAAATTCCCCCCCCCCAAATTTTTTGAACCCCCTTATGATTCATCACCCCCAAACTCAATCCCAGCCTTCCCTTTGTGGTATGGTACCTTGCAGTACAATTTCAGAGAGATCCATACACTTGAACACAAGTTATTGTCTGGAAACTAGAAAAATGCTTATTTTTGGCCCCTTTTTGGCCCCCAATTCCTAAACGTTTCGGGCAATTACCCCCAAACTCAATTCCAGCTTTCCCTTTGTGATATGGAACCTAGTAGTACAATTTCAGAAATATCCAAACACTTACACACAAGTTATTGTAATGAAACTAGAAAAATGCTTGTTTTTTGCCCCTTTTTTGGCCCCTAATTCCTAAAATTTTGAGGCAATTACCCCCAAAATCAATTACAGCCTTCCCTTTGTGATATGGAACCTTGTGGTACAATGTCAGAGAGATCCATACACTTACACACAAGTTATTGTCTTGAAGTTACAAAAATGCTTATTTTTGGCCCCTTTTTGGCCCCTAATTCCTTAACTGTTGGTACCATAACCCCCAAAATCAATCCCCACCTTCCTTTCGTGGTATTGAACCTTATGGTAAAATTTCATGGAGATCCATTCACTTAAACTAAAGTTAGAGTGCGAAAACCAATGTGTCTTCGGACGACGCCGGACGATGATGACGACGACGACGACGCCAACGTCATACCAATATACGACCAAAAAATTTTCAATTTTTGCGGTCGTATAACAACATACATATGCTTTGAATGTCCGTTTCATTTTACCAGGTGACTGTATATTCAAATATCAAAATTACCTTAACCAACCAGCAGGGTGCATTACATTTGCGCATATTTAGGGATTAAAATGTTTTACATTTGCATGCAGCTTTTTATTACATCTGCACACATTCATTTAACAGTTAAATATAAAGATAATTCATAATTAATATAATGATAGTTATTAATTTTGAACATATTTATCACTTTATATCATATAATTTTCATATTGAATTCTTAAAATATATTTAAGAGATCATGAGAAATCCCATAATCAGTAATCGCTTTAGACATACATGTTACTATATTGCGAACATTAAAAGTGAATAGAATTCTGTTTCCAATCTAAAGATGCTTGATACACAAGCAGTTGTAAGTAGAAGTAAGAAAGTAAAAACAGAGTATCTGATGGAATGATTCTAAAAATACAAGAATGCAGAAGTTGGCAGAATTCATTTTATTAAAGAAGCAGTGGGGTTCAAATACTCAGCTAGTACCAACATGTAAAATTCGTACTTTTACTGTACAGTTTTGCTATGTTTTTACATTTTAATCTGTATATATTTGCGTCCTGTTCTTGTGCAAAATAAAACGGACTTATTCTGCTGGAAACCCACGTCCACCTCCTCATTGGTGAGCAGGGGACTTGGATCAACAGAAGATAATCCAATTAATAAATGAATGAATAAATAAGTAAAATTAACCTTGAAAATGAATGCGCGCAAACGTAACTGTAATGCACGCAAATGTGATGCACTAGACCAGCAAACAAAACTGGATTTCAATCAAGTTTATGTCATGTGATTGTTTGATTGTCTTTACATAGGACATAGGTTTTTCCATATATCATTTTTGTCAGCCACAAAGGTTTATTATTGTTATTTTCAAAATTCAAATTTTCAAATTTTCAATTTTTTTTATTTTCATGCTTTTTTGGTCAGAAGATGTGCAAAAAACAAAACTATAATACGTTTATTTTATATTTTCTTGATAAAACGTTTCATGAGAACTTGTATGAGAACAAGAACTACAAGAAAAAGAAGAAATACTATTAAAATATATTGTCAAAAGGGAGACATTAGCCCCAAAGTTGGTCATCAGGTGCAAAAAGCTTCAATTTGGATGATTTTTCGTCCTATTTCTTGACCAGGAAGACAGAGGGATGCTGATATATGTGTCTTACTGTAGTCTGCATGTAGAGTGGACCCCAGTGAACACATTAATCACAACAAAGCCTTGGTCGGAGTCAAATTGATCTTGGTACAGCAATCTGAGAAGGTCATTTGAACAAAAATCTGGAATTTCTCGAATTTTCCCGATTTTTGGCTTCATCTATCTGGACCTGCAACTGGAAGTAGTCATTCACTAAGTGGAGCCCACCCCTTCAGAAAAACCAGTTTTGTTCGATTTCAATTTTCCAAATTCATATTTGAGCTGAAAATGCACCTTAAACATGAGAAACATGACAATAAATAGCCTCAGGTTGAGGAAACATGCATCAACTTCGAAATAAATGTCGTAAAGTTGACCTCTAAAAGTATGGAGAGCCATTGGAGCCAAATAACGGTAGTTTGGGTAATCCCGTCATATGACGGTCACCGCATGGTAAGGGTCAATTAACAACAAAAATAAAAATAAATATAAAATTGTTTTTGAGCAAACCAGTGTATCTGGAGGCCTTGATAACTCTTTCTGACCCCAAATAAGATGAAAAAACATCCAAATTGGAGCTAAAACTGGAAAAATTTTGATTTCTACCACCATGGGCCTTAACACTTAGCTGTATTTGGCAAAACTTTTAGGAATTTTTGGTCCTCAATGCTCTTCAACATTTATTTGGCCTTTTTAACTTTTTTTCATTGGAGCGTCACTGATGAGTCTTTTGTAGATGAAACGCGCGTCTGGCACAAATACAAAATTTCAATCCTGGTATCTATGATGAGTTTATTTACCATGCTGAATTGTTTTCAGAAAATGTCTAACTTTCGTTTATTTGCAAAAATATGCAAATTACATGCAAATGAGCTTTACTCTGCTGCTGATGCATATTGATTCCTTTAAATCTAAGATAGGGGATCACGAGGTTGGGTGGTCAGGCTGAGGAGGCAGGGGTGGGTGGGAATTAGCCCGAAAGTTGGTCATCAGGTGCAAAAAGCGTCAATTTTGACGATTTTTCGTCCTATTTCTTGACCAGAAACACATTAATCACAACAAAGCCTAGGTTGGAGTCAAACTGATCTTGGTACAGCAGTCTACTCTAAAGAAGGTCATTTGCACCAAAAATCCAAAATTTCTCGATTTTTCCTTATTTTTGGCTTCAACTGGACCTGCAACCGGAAGTAATTGTTCACTACGTGGATTTCAATAACAAACACGATCAGTAGTTATATTCCTGCAGGTTTACACTTATTTTTAAAGTTTTAGGCCTCTGAACTGGGTCTGTCTGACACCGAAGGGAAGCCCACCCCTCCAGAAAAACCAGTTTTATTCGATTTCAATTTTCCAAATTCGAGAAACATGACAATAAATAGCCTGAGGTTGAGGAAACATGCATCAACTTCGAAATTAATGTCATAAAGTTGACCTCTAAAAGTATGGAGAGCCATTGGAGCCAAATAACGGTAGTTTGGGTAATCTCGTCATATGACGGTCACCGCACGGTAAGGGTTAATTAACAACAAAAATAAAAATAAATATAAAATTGTTTTTGAGCAAACCAGTGTATCTGGAGGCCTTGATAACCCATTCTGACCCCAAATAAGATGAAAAAACATCCAAACTGGAGCTAAAACTGGAAAAAAAATGATTTCTACCACCATGGGCCTTAACACTTAGCTGTATTTGGCAAAACTTTTAGGAATTTTTGGTCCTCAATGCTCTTCAACTTCGTACTTTATTTGGCCTTTTTAACTTTTTTTCATTGGAGCGTCACTGATGAGTCTTTTGTAGATGAAACGCGCGTCTGGCACAAATACAAAATTTCAATCCTGGTATCTATGATGAGTTTATTTACCATGCTGAATTGTTTTCAGAAAATGTCTAACTTTCGTTTATTTGCAAAAATATGCAAATTACATGCAAATGAGCTTTACCATGCTGCTGATGCATATTCATTCCTTTAAATCTAAGATAGGGGATCACGAGGTTGGGTGGTCAGGCTGAGGAGGCAGGGGTGGGTGGGAATTAGCCCCAAAGTTGGTCATCAGGTGCAAAAAGCGTCAATTTTGACGATTTTTCGTCCTATTTCTTGACCAGAAACACATTAATCACAACAAAGCCTAGGTTGGAGTCAAACTGATCTTGGTACAGCAGTCTACTCTAAAGAAGGTCATTTGCACCAAAAATCCAAAATTTCTCGATTTTTCCTTATTTTTGGCTTCAACTGGACCTGCAACCGGAAGTAATTGTTCACTACGTGGATTTCAATAACAAACACAATCAGTAGTTATATTCCTGCAGGTTTACACTTATTTTTAAAGTTTTAGGCCTCTGAACTGGGTCTGTCTGACACCGAAGGGAAGCCCACCCCTCCAGAAAAACCAGTTTTATTCGATTTCAATTTTCCAAATTCGTATTTGAGCTGAAAATGAACCTTAAACATGAGAAACATGACAATAAATAGCCTCAGGTTGAGAGAACATGCATCAACTTCGAAATTAATGTAGTTTGGGTAATCCCCTCATATGACGGTCACCTCATGGTAAGGGTTAACTAAACCACAATAACTGTAGTTTACTCAACTTTAATTTTGATCAAACATTCCTATAACAATTTTCATATGCATGTTTTATCAACTCTGCTTTAATTCTTTTCAGAAAAAATCTTATGATCAAAATTGATTTTGAGGTATGCTTAAATGTTCATAAAATTAAATGAAATTGATTGCCCTCCTTTTTCTTGATTAGCTGATTGCTTATGTTTTATTCAAATCAAATCTTAGACCAATATTTCAACAACTTTCATATAACATTGCAATGATCAACCTTAACTATAAATACATGACCTGTCTCACCTATAATATTCTATTATACCAGCATCCTCTAATGAATCTAGGCCAGCCATATGACGATGTTCTGTAACACACTTAGCCAACTCTTCAATGCTCTTTTGTTTTTGATGATGATCAGCATCTTCCCAGACCAGGACCACCTCCTCTACTTCTTCTATTGTAACGATAGGTTCTGATGCAGCTGTCCCATCAGGATTCTCTACCTCCATTTCTACCTCCATCTGAGTCTTCTCCATTCTAAATACAAAGACATTTTGATAAGATCATATAACTAGAGGCTCTCAAGAGCCTGTGTCGCTCACCTGTATTTACTGATGCTTTGGAAATCATGTAAAATTAAAGAACCTTAGCGAGCGTGCTCACATACCCCACATCCTCACATTGTCACTGGAGAAATAAAATAACAGTAAGAAAAAAAAATTGTATAAGAAAAAAAAATTGAATAATAATTTCCTGTCGATATGCAAATCTACGTAGTATGTCCTTATTATCTACAAATTTTCATGAAATTCTGTTGTGTGGTTTCAGAAGAGTAGAGATGACAAACTGTTGCAGTAGTATATTGAAGCAAATAAGTTCAAAGGGGCATAACTCCTAGAAAATAAATTGAATCGTAATTTCCTGTCGATATGCAAATCTGCATAGTATGTCCTTATTATCTAAAAAGGTTTCATGAAATTCTGTTGTGTGGTTTCAGAGGAGTTAGAATGACAAACTGTTGCAGTAGTATATTGAAGCAAATAAGTTCAAAGGGGCATAACTCCTAGAAAAAAAATTGAATCGTAATTTCCTGTCGATATGCACATCTACATAGTATGTCCTTATTATCTAAAAATGTTTCATGAAATTCTGTTGTGTGGTTTCAAAGGAGTTGCGATGACAAACTGTTGCAGTAGTATAATGAAGCAAATAAGTTCAAAGGGGCGTAACTCCTAGAAAAAAAATTGAATCGTAATTTCCTGTCGATATGCACATCTGCATAGTATGTCCTTATTATCTAAAAAGGTTTCATAAAATTCTGTTGTCTGGTTTCAGAGGAGTTGTGATGACAAACTGTTGCAGTAGTATATTGAAGCAAATAAGTTCAAAGGGGAATAACTCCTAGAAAAAAAATTGAATCGAAATTTCCTGTCGATATGCACATCTACATAGTATCTCCTTATTATCTGAAAAGGTTTCATGAAATTCTGTTGTGTGGTTTGAGAGGAGTTGCGATGACAAGAAACAGGACTGACTGACTGATGGACAGATGGACGGACAGACGGACGGGTCAAAAACATTATTCCCTCCGCAACTCGTTGCGTTTGGTATAATAAGGTTAAAATCATAATTAATAATATTAGATATTAGATATTATAATGATATCTAAGATAATAACAAAAAACTATAAAATTTCTGTAAAATTACTAACTCAGGGGCAGCAACCCAACAACGGGTTGTCGGATTCGTCTGAAAATTTCAGGGCAGATAAATCTAAATCTGATGAACATTTTTGCCACCTGTCAGATTGGCTCTAAATGCTTTAGTTTCAGAGATATAAACCAATAAAAAGCTCCGCAGGGCGCATCTTGATACGACCGCAGAGGTTGAACCCTGAACAGTTGGGGCAAGTATGGACACAACATTCAAGCTTGATACAGCTCTGAATTTGGATTGTGATTAAATATTTGACACAGCATAGGTTTCTGACACAGAATGAATGTGACCTCTTTAAGAACTTAAAAATTTTAAATTGGACATTCACCTATTATGGTCCAATATCCAAAATCTAAATACATGGTTAGATTCAGAATATCAAAGAACCCCAAGAATTCAATTTTTGATGAAATCAAACAAAGTTTAATTTTGGACCCTTTTGACCTCAATGTGGACAAAGTTGATAACGGGGCCCAAAAATCAAAAATCTAAATACATGGTTAGATTCAGCATATCAAAGAACCCCATATATCCAATTTTTGTTGAAATCAAACTAAGTTTAATTTTGGACCCTTTGGACCTTAATGTAGACCAATTTGAAAACGGAACCAAAAAATAAGAATCTAAATACACGATTAGATTCGGCATATCAAAGAACCCCAATAATTCAATTTTTGATGAAATCAAACAAAGTTTAATTTTGGACCCTTTGGACCTCAATGTGGACCAATTTAAAAACGGGGCCCAAAATCCAAAAACTTAATACAAGGTTAGATTCAGCATATTAAAGAACCCCAAGAATTCAAGAATAAAACCCCATTGAAATTGGTCAAGAAATAAGCAATTTATATGAAGTATCTTCTTTTGCACAATACTGTGCAATTAAATATTTCTTGCTATTGCGCAATACTGTACAATTGACAATTTCTTGCTATTGCGCAATATTGTGCTATTGGATATTTCTTGCTATTGCGCAATACTGTGCAATTGAAGATTTCTTGCTATTGCGCAATACTGTGCAATTGAAGATTTCTTGCTATTGTGCAATACTGTGCAATTGAAAATTTCTTGCTATTGCACAATACTTATTATATAATAATTTACACATCCTGTTTGGTGTGTATCTCCTACCATATCATAATTATTTGCTTTGAAATATAAATCAGAAATAACCAACTTAAAATGGAAAATTTTATAAGAAAAAAAAAAGGAAAAAAAGAAAAAAAAAAAATCCCCCCCCCCAAATTTTTTGAACCCCCTTATGATTCATCACCCTAAACTCAATCCCAGCCTTCCATTTGTGGTATGGTACCTTGCAGTACAATTTCAGAGAGATCCATACACTTGAACACAAGTTATTGTCTGGAAACTAGAACTAGAGGCTCTAAAGAGCCTGTGTCGCTCACCTTGGTCTATGTGCATATTAAACAATGGACACAGATGGATTCATGACAAAATTGTGTTTTGGTGATGGTGATGTGTTTGTAGATCTTACTTTACTGAACATTCTTGCTTCTTACTATTATCTCTATCTATAATGAACTTGGCCCAGTAGTTACAGTGGAAAATATTTTGTAAAAATTTACAAAAATTTACAAAATTTATGAAAATTGTAAAAAATTGACTATAAAGGGCAATAACTCCTTAAGGGGTCAATTGACAATTTTGGTCATGTTGACTTATTTGTATATCTAACTTTGCTGTACATTATTGCTGTTTACAGTTTATCTCTATCTATAATAATATTCAAGATAATAACCAAAAGCTGCAAAATTTTCTTAAAATTACCAATTCAGGGGCAGCAACCCAACAACATGTTGCCTGATTGGTCTGAAAATTTCAGGGCAGATAGATCTTGACCTAATGAACAATTTTATATCATCAGATTTGCTCTAAATGCTTTGGTTTCAGAGATATGAGCCAAAAACTGCATTTTACCCTATGTATTATTTTTTTGACATGTCGGCCATCTTGGTTTGCGGGCAGGGTCATCGGACACATTTTTAAACTAGATACCCTAATGATGATTGTGGACAATTTTGGTTAAATTTGTCTTAGTAGTTTCAGAGGAGAAGATTTTTGTAAAAGATTACAAAAATTTACGAAAAATGGTTAAAAATTGACTATAAAGGGCAATAACTCCTTAAGGGGTCAACTGACCATTTTGGTCAAGTTGACTTATTTGTAGATCATACTTTGCTGAACATTATTGCTGTTTACAGTTTATCTCTATCTATAATAATATTCAAGATAATAACCAAAAACGGCAAAATTTCCTTAAAATTACCAATTCAAGGGCAGCAACCCAACATCGGGTTGTCCGATTCATCTGAAAATTTCAGGGCAGATAGATCTTGACCTGATAAACAATTTTACCCCAAGTCAGATTTGCTTTAAATGCTTTGGTTTCAGAGATATAAGCCAAAATCTACATTTTACCCCTATGTTCTATTTTTAGCCATGGCGGCCATCTTGGTTGGTTGACGGGGTCATCGGACACATTTTTTGAACTAGATACCCCAATGATGATTGTGGCCAAGTTTGGTCAAATTTGGCCCAGTAGTTTCAGAGGAGAAGATTTTTGTAAAAGTTTACGGACGACGGACGACGGACGCAGGACGACGGACGCAAAGTGATGAGAAAAGCTCACTTGACCTTTCAGGTCAGGTGAGCTAAAAATGTGTTTTTTGGCCCCTTTTTTACCCCCAAATTCCTAAACGTATAGGGCAACAAGAAATGATTGTAACAGGATGCTGTTACGAAGTCTCCCAAACGAAGCTCCCATAATTCGTAATTCCCAGGGTCGCCTGACATTGGGCAACGTCCATTGAAAATTGGTTTGGTCCAGTAAAGTTATATGCATTAGTGATGCCTGGGGACTAACCTTGTATATCATTCAAATCATCTTGGCATGACGAACAGGAATATATATGGTTTAGGGGTGGGGATCTCAACCATTTACAAGATACTAGAATATTGGGGGTGGGGAGGAACCCCTGGGGACTGGCCCTATACGTCATTCAAATGTTCATTACATGACGAACAGGAATATATATGGTTTAGGGGTGGCGATCTCAACCATTTACAAGATATTAGAACATTGGGGGTGGGGGGAACCCCTGGGGACTGACCGTATACGTCATTCAAATGTTCGAGACATGACAAATAGGAATATATATGGTTTAGGGGTGGGGATCTCGACCATTTACAAGATATTAGAACTTTCTCAAATGGCAGGGTGTCGGGATGACCCCTGGGGACTTACCCTGTATATCATTCAAACCATCTCAGCATGACAAACCAGAATATATATGGTTTAGGGGTGGGGATCTTGACCACTTACAAGATATTAGAACTTTCTTAAATGGCAGGGGGTGGGGGTAACCCCTGGGGACTAACCCTGTATTTCATTTGATGTGCTTTATCATGACAAACCAGAATATATATGGTTTAGGGGTGGGGATCTCGACCATTTACAAGATATTAGAACTTTCTCAAATGGCAGGGGATTGGGATGACCCCTGGCGACTAACCCTGTATATCATTCAAACCATCTTAGCATGACAAACGAGAATATATATGGTTTAGGGGTGGGGATCTTGACAACTTAGAAGATATTAGAACTTTCTTAAATGGCAGGGGGTGGGGGTGACCCCTGGGGACTAACCCTGTATTACATTTGATGTGCTTTATCATGACAAACCAGAATATATATGGTTTAGGGGTGGGGATCTCGACCATTTACAAGATATTAGAACTTTCTCAAATGACAGGGGGTGGGGATGACCCCTGGGGACTAACCCTGTATATCATTCAAACCATCTTAGCATGACAAACCAGAATATATATGGTTTAGGGGTGGGGATCTTGACCACTTACAAGGTATTAGAACTTTCTTAAATGGCAGGGGGTGGGGGTGACCCCTGGGGACTAACCCTGTATTTCATTTAATGGGCTTTATCATTTAGAACATTTTCAATTAAAAAGTTTGTGTCTATCACGAACGGTTTTCAATTTATAATTATTTGAAAATTTAAAAAAATAAAATCCCATAGGGTTCTATAGTAAAACCCTCTTTTCTTTTTGCCCCTCAAAGTACCCCTTTATAAACCCCATTGCAAAAACAAAACCCTGATTGCACCACTAGACATGTTAGTCTAACATATTGTGAAACCCTAAGTTAATTCGACAAGCGGTTTTGGAGAACGGGTGCGGACAAGTTCAAATTTAAAAGCGGCGGAAGAAGAAGAAGAAGAAGAAGAAGAAGAAGAAGAAGAAGAAGAAGAAGAAGAAGAAGAAGAAGAAGAAGAAGAAGAAGAAGAAGAAGAATAATAATAATAAGAACTGAGCAAAAACAATAAGTCTTCCCAAACTTCGTTTGGGAGACTTAATTACCCCCAAACTCAAACCCAGCTTTCCCTTTGTGATATGGAACCTTGCAGTACAATTTCAGAAAGATCCATACACTTACACACAAGTTATTGTCCTGAAACTAGAAAAATGCTTGTTTTTTGCCCCTTTTTTGGCCCCTAATTCCTAAATGTTTCGGGCAATTACCCCCAAACTCAATTCCAGCTTTCCTTTTGTGATATGGAACCTTGTAGAACAATTTCAGAAATATCCAAACACTTACACACAAGTTATTGTCATGAAACTAGAAAAATTCTTGTTTTTTGGCCCTTTTTTGGCCCCTAATTCCTAAAATTTTGAGGCAATTACCCCCAAAATCAATTCCAGCCGTCCCTTTGTGATATGGAACCTTGTGGTATAATGTCAGAGAGATCCATACACTTACACACAAGTTATTGTCTGGAAGTTACAAAAATGCTTATTTTTGGCCACTTTTTGGCCCCTAATTCCTTAACTGTTGGTACCATAACCCCCAAAATCCCAACCTTCCTTTTGTGGTATTGAACCTTATGGTAAAATTTCATAGAGATCCATTCACTTGAACTAAAGTTATAGTGTGAAAACTAATGTGTCTTCAGACGACGACGACTACGATGCCAACGTCATACCAATATACGACCGCAAAATTTTTACGGTCGTATAAAAACTGCATTTTACCCCTATGTTTTATTTTTAACCAAGTCCGCCATGATGGTTGGAAGGCGGGGTCATCGGACAAATTTTTTAGACTAAATACCCTAATAATGATTATGGCCAAATATGGTTAAATTTGTCTCAGTAGTTTCAGAGAAGAAGATTTTTGTAAAAGATTACAAAAATTTACGAAAAATTGTTAAAAATTGACTATAAAGGGCAATAACTCCTAAAGAGGTCGACTGACAATTTTGGTCATGACAACTTATTTGTAGATCTTACTTTGCTGAACATTATTGCTGTTTACAGTTTATCTCTATCTATAATAATATTCAAGATAATAACCAATAAAATGCTTCGCTGGGCACAGCTTGATACGACCGCAGAGGTCGAACCCTGAACAGTTGGGGTAAGTATGGACACAACATTCAAGCTTGATACAGCTCTGAATTTGGATTGTGATTAAATATTTGACACAGCATAGGTTTCTGACACAGAAAGAATGTGGTCTAAGAACTTCAATTTTTTTAATTTACCTATTATGGTCCAATGTCCAAAATCATAATACATGGTTAGATTCAGCATATCAAAGAACCCCATATATTCAATTTTTGTTGAAATCAAACAAAGTTTAATTTTGGACCCCAACTTGGACAAACTTGAAAACTGGTCCCATAATAAAAAATCTAAACACATGTTTAGATTCAGCATATCAAAGTACCCCAAGAATTCATTTTTTGTTAAAATCAAACTAACTTTAATTTTGGACCCTTTGGACCTTAATGTAGACCAATTTAAAAAACGGGACCCAAAATTAAAAATCTAAAAACACGGTTAGATTTGGCATATCAAAGAACCCCAATAATTCAATTTTTGATGAAATCAAACAAAGTTTGATTTTGGACCCTTTTGACCTCAATATGAACCAATTTGATAGCGGGCCCACAAATAAAAAATCTAAATACAAGGTAAGATTCAGCATATCAAAGAACCCCATATATTCAATTTTTGTTGAAATCAAACAAAGTTTAATTTTGGACCCCAATTTGGACCAACTTGAAAACTTGGCCAAAAATCTAAAATCTAAATACATGTTTAGATTCAGCATATCAAAGAACCCCATATATTCAATTTTTGTTGAAATCAAACAAAGTTTAATTTTGTTGGACCCCAACTTGGACCAACTTGTAAACTGGTTAAATAATCAAAAATCTAAACACATGTTTAGATTCAGCATATCAAAGAACCCCAAAAATTCAATTTTTGTTAAAATCAAACTAAGTTTAATTTTGGACCCTTTGGACCTTAATGTAGACCAATTTAAAAAACGGGACCCAAAATTAAAAATCTAAATACACGGTTAGATTTGGCATATCAAAGAACCACAATAATTAAATTTTTGATGAAATCAAACAAAGTTTAATTTTGGACCCTTTTGACCTCAATATGAACCAATTTGATAGCGGGCCCACAAATAAAAAATCTAAATACATGGTAAGATTCAGCATATCAAAGAACCCCATATATTCAATTTTTGTTGAAATCAAACAAAGTTTAATTTTGGACCCCAGTTTGGACCAACTTGAAAACTGGGCCAAAAATCTAAAATCTAAATACATGTTTAGATTCAGCATATCAAAGAACCCCATATATTCAATTTTTGTTGAAATCAAACAAAGTTTAATTTTGGACCCCAACTTGGACCAACTTGAAAACTGGGCCCATAATCAAAAATCTAAACACATGTTTAGATTCAGCATATCAAAGAACCCCAAGAATTCAATTTTTGTTAAAATCAAACTAAGTTTAATTTTGGACCCTTTGGACCTTAATGTAGACCAATTTAAAAAACGGGACCCAAAATTAAAAATCTAAATACACGGTTAGATTTGGTATATCAAAGAACCCCAATAATTCAATTTTTGATGAAATCAAACAAAGTTTAATTTTGGACCCTTTTGACCTCAACATGAACCAATTTGATAGCGGGGTCCACAAATAAAAAATCTAAATACATGGTTAGATTCAGCAAATCAAAGAACCCCATATATTCAATTTTTGTTGAAATCAAACAAAGTTTAATTTTGGACCCCAATTTGGACCAACTTGAAAACTTGGCCAAAAATCTAAAATCTAAATACATGTTTAGATTCAGCATATCAAAGAACCCCATATATTCAATTTTTGTTAAAATCAAACAAATTTTAATTTTGGACCCTTTGGACCTTAATGTAGACCAATTTGAAAACTGGATCCAAAATTAAAAATCTAAATACATCGTTAGATTCGGCATAACAAATAAATAAATGTGGTCAAAGATTTTACAAATCTAATGCGCCATACTGTGTAATTAAAGATTACTTCTTGAAATTTTTCAATATTTGAAATTTGAAAAAAAAATAATATTTGAAGAATAATTCTTTTTAATTTCTGAAATCTGAAATGAGAAAAAATTGACCCCCCCCCCCAATTTCTTTTTACCCCCCCCCCCCCCCCCCATTTTTTCCCCCAAACCATAATTACCCATTTAAATTTACCATAGTGCTAACTTAATCTATTTTATAATAGAATTTAAAATATAGTGTCAAATCTTTCATATGGATTTTTTTGTAAAAAAAAAAAAGATGCAACATTTGCAGATATTTTTACTGGTCTTCCTTTATAAATATGCATTTCTTTAAACATAATTTAAAAGCAGTGTAAGGGAAGTAACCAAAACGTTGTATTTGGATTACCTCCCTTACACTGTTTTAAATTATCTTAATTGTTCATTAACCATTACTTTATACATAATTTAAAAGCAGTGTAAGGGAGATAATTTCAATGATGTATTTGATTTATCTCCCTTACACTGCTTTAAATTATGTTTTGTACTAAAGTATTTGTCCATTAACCAGGACAACCTTGTTTTTCCCCCTTTTTTGCCCCTAATTCTTAAACGGTTTGAGCCATAACCCCTCAAAGCAAATCCTAACCATCCCTTTGTCGTATGGAAACTTGTAGTATAATTTCAGAGAGATCCATACACTGTTCCACAGTTATTGTCTGGAAACTAGAAAATGCTTATTTTTGGCCCCTTTTTGGCCCCTAATTCCTTAACTGTTGGTACCATAACCCCCAAAATCAATCCCCACCTTCCTTTTGTTGTATTGAACCTTATGGTAAAATTTCATAGAGATCCATTCACTTAAACTAAAGTTAGAGTGCGAAAACTAATGCGTATTCGGACGACGACGCCGGACGACGACGACGACGACGACGACGACGCCAACGTCATACCAATATACGACCACAAAAATTTTTTTGCGGTCGTATAAAAACTGCAAAATTTCCTTAAAATTACCAATTCAGGGGCAGCAACCCAACAACAGGTTGTCAGATTTGTCTGAAAATTTCAGGGCAGATAGATCTTGGCCTGATAATCAGTTTTACCCTTTGTCAGATTTACTCTAAATGCTTTGGTTTCAGAGATATAAGCCAAAATCTACATTTTACCCCTATGTTCCATTTTTAGCCATGGCCGCCATCTTGGTTGGTCGGACACATTTTTGAAACTAGATACCCTAATGATGATTGCGGCCAAGTTTGGTTAAATATTTTGGAGGATACTGAAATTGTTGCATTTAAAAAGTTGTAAAACTTGACAAACAAGTGTCTATTGTTATGGTTGATTAATTATTTTTTTACCGAAATGACCTCTTATTTCTTGATTAGTTTCTGATACAGTTAATCATTAGAATACCGCTAACTTAGATAATTATTTGTTACAGGTATTCAAACGTCTTGTAAATTTTACGATTGATTAGATTATCATGAGTGTTTACAACTCTTATATTGTTTGACACTAATTAATATGGGGTAATTACCTGATAAGAGTACCTTACACTCTTATTCTAATTGACACTTATTAATACGGGTATACACACCTGACAGTCATTTTATAAAATACATTTATGTACAATGCCCTTTGGCATTTATCTTGTTAAAACTAACATATACCGTTATTGACCTGCCAACAGGGAAAAATATTTCGTTTACAAAATCCTTTAACCATGTTAACTTTGAAACTACCAAACGTATGCATAAATTTTCGCGGAATTTATTTTCGCGATTTTCGTTTATCCGCCAAAATAAGCGAAAATAAACACCCCGCTAAAATAACCCGCTATACGGTACGTCCCGTAAACAGGCATATAAAAAATGAAAAAAACAATTTCCAAAATATTATTCCCCATTAATACAGTCCTACAGTTATCCCAAAGAAATTGCATCAAAATGATGATGGATTTAAAATCAGCTTATCAGCAACAATTTAGAAAACACAAAATTTTAAAATAAATTCGTTACTCCAATTGTAAAAATAATCTCCCCTGAGGCCCTCATGAAATACATTGAACTATGACAAACAAAGAATTACAAAATAATCAAACAAATACACACATTAGCTAATGTGTAGGGAATTAATACATCACATACTTTCCTTTATTCATTTTAATATTTAATTTCCATGATTAGTTATAAAAATGTGCTCTGCCTGGAGCAGCTGGATACGACCGCAGAGGTCGAACTCTGAACAGTTGGGGCAAGTATGGACACAATATTCAAGCTTGATACAGCTCTGAATTTGGATAGTGATCAAATATTTGACACGTTATAGATTTCTGACACAGAATAAATGTGGTCAGATAACTTAAAAATTTTAAATGGGACGGACATTTAATCTACTTAATGGTCCAATATCGAAAATCTAATTCCATGGTTAGATTCAGCATATAAAAAAATAACCATGAATTCAAACAAAGTTTAATTTTGGACCCTTTGGACCTTAATATGGACTAATTTGAAAACAGGGCCCAAAATAAAAAATCTGAATGCACAGTTAAATTCAGCATATCATAGAACCACAAGAATTCAGTTTTTGGTGAAATCAAACAAAGTCTAATTTTGGACCCTTTGGACCTCAATGTAGAACTATTTAAAAATGTCCAAATATCCAATATAGTAATACATGGTAAAAGCCTCAAACAATTCAAGAATTTAAATTAATCCTCATTGAAATTGGTTAAAAGATTTGTATTTATTTTCAATTGAAGATTTCTTGCTGTTGTGCAATACTTTGCTGTTGTGCAATACTTAGTAAATCTGTTTACAAACTAAATATAATAATTTACACACCCTGTTTGGTGTGTATCTCCTGCCATATCAGTATTTGTTGTTTCTTTATATAGATCAAAAATAATTTATGTTAGAACCAGCTTAGCCAGTATTAGACATGTGTAAGTTTTACTTATGTCATAGAGACACACAAACCAGTTCAGTCTGGTAAAGAAAGTTTTAATAAAGAAGCCAAACACAGGATACACTGAATATTTGGCAAAACTAGTCAGCCTTTTTTATTTTTCAAAGAAATGTAGACTGACAGAATGGACAGACAAAGCTGATTAGCATAATCCCCTGGTCATTGATAGCCGGTGATTTAACTAGAGGCTCTCAAGGGCCTGTGTTGCTCACCTGATTCTACTTTGGTTTTGAAAATCATGTAAAAATAGATTAAAATCATAACAGATACCCTAATAATGATTGAGGCCAAATTTGGTTTAATATTGGCCCCGTTATTTAATCAAAAGCAGAAGACTTTTGTAAAGTTTACAGAAATTACCAATAAATTCATTGAAATTGTAGAAAATGACTTTATAAGGACAATGACAATAAAATGCTTCGCTGAGCGCAGCCTGATACGACCGCAGAGGTCGAAACCCTGAACAGTTGGGGCAAATTTGGACACAATATTCAAGCTTGATACTGTCTGAATTTGGATTGTGATCAAATTTTTTACATAATATAGGTTTCTGACACAAAATAAATGTGGTCAAAGATCTTTCAAATCTATTGCGCAATACTGTGCAATGGAAGATTTCTTCTTGAAAATTTTCAAAAATTCGAAATATGAAAAATTTTGAAAAAAAAATATGAATCCCCTAAAAAAATTGGAAAAAAAATCACCCCTCCCCCCCCCCCCCCCCCCCAACTTTTTGAAACCCTCTTTGGAGCAATAACCCCATTACTCAATCCCAGTCTTTCCTTTGTAGAATGGAACCTTGTAGTACAATTTTAGAGAGATTAATACATTTAAACACAAGTTATTGTCTGGAAACTAGAAAAATGCTTGTTTTTGGTCCTTTTTGGCCCCTAATTCTTGCATGTTTTGGGCAATTAACCCCAAACGCAATCCCAGACTTCCCTTTGTCATATGGAACCTTGTGTTACAATGTCAGAGAGATCCATACACCTACACACAAGTTATTGTCTGGAAACTAGAACTAGAGGCTTTCAAGAGCCTGTGTTGCTCACCTGTATTTACTGATGCTTTGGAAATCATGTAAAATAAGGTTAAAATCATAATTAATAGTATTAGATATTAGATATTATAATGATATCTAAGATAACAAGAAATGATTGTAACAGGATGCTGTTACGAAGTCTCCCAAACGAAGCTCCCATAATTCGTAATTCCCAGGGTCGCCTGACATTGGGCAAAGTCTAGTGAAAATTGGTTTGGTCCAGTAAAGTTATATGCATTAGTGATGCCTGGGGACTAACCCTGTATATCATTCAAATTATATTGGCATGACAAACCAGAATATATATGGTTTAGGGGTGGGGATCTCGACCATTTACAAGATATTACAACTTTCTCAAATGGCAGGGGGTCGGGATGATCCCTGGGGACTAACCCTGTATTTCATTTGATTTGCTTTATCATGACAAACCAGAATATATATGGTTTAGGGGTGGGGATCTTGACCACTTACAAGATATCAGAACTTTCTTAAATGGCATGGGGTGGGGGTGACCCCTGGGGACTAACCCTGTATTTCATTTGATTTGCTTTATCATGACAAACAAGAATATATATGGTTTAGGGGTGGGGATCTCGACCATTTACAAGATATTACAACTTTCTCAAATGGCAGGGGGTCGGGATGACCCCTGGGGACTAACCCTGTATATCATTCAAACCATCTTAGCATGACAAACCAGAATATATATGGTTTAGGGGTGGGGATCTTGACCAC